GACGTTGCTTTGTGCACTGGTGCACAATCATGTTGGAAAAGGAAGGGGCCAGCTCCAAACTGTTCCCACAAAGTTGGGAGCATGGAATCGTCCAAAATGTCTTGGTATGCTGAAGCATTCAGAGTTCCTTTCACTGCAACTAGGGGGCCAAGCCCAGCTCCTGAAAAACAACCCCACACCATAATCCCCCCTCCACCAAACTTTACACTTGGCACAATACAGTCAGACAAGTACCGTTCTCCTGGCACCCACCAAACCCAGGCTCGTCCATCAGATTGCCAGATGGAGAAGCGCGATTCGTCACGCCACAGAATGCATCTCTACTGCTCTTGAGTCCAGGGGGGGCGTGCTTTACACCACTGCATCTGACGCTTTGCATTGCACATAGTGATGTATGGCTTGGATGCAGCTGCTCGGCCATGGAAAACTATTCCATCAAGCTCTCTGCGCACTATTCTTGAGCTAATCTGAAGGCCACATGACGTTTGAAGGTCTGTAGCGATTGACTCTGCAGAAAGTTGGCAACCTCTTTGACTATGCGCCTCAGCATCCACTGACCCCAATCCGTCGGTTTACGTGGCCTACTACTTCGTGGCTGAGTTGCTGTCGTTCCCAAACACTTCCACGTTCTTATAATACAGCTGATAGTTGACTGGAATATTTAGGAGCGAGGAAATTTCACGATTGGATTTGTTGCACAGGTGGCATTCTATCACAGATCCACGCTGGAATTCACTGAGCTCCTGAGAGCAACCCATTTTTTCACAAATGTTTGTAAAAACAGTCTGCATGTCTAAGTACTTGATTTTATCAATTCCTGTGGCCATGGAAGTGATTGAAATACCTGATTCTGATTATTTGAATGGGTGAGCGAATACTTTTGGCAATATAGTGTATGTCTCTGTTGATGATAACCAGCACTTTGAATAAAACTGAGAAACCTATTTTTAACCATTAGAGAGGCCACAAAATTGAGGCAGCATATTAGCTGTACAAATAAATAACTGAATTACTTTGTAGTGATATCACTTTTTCAGTAACTTTATTTTTGCTATCTGAACATTACTACTGCTCTGACTTACTTTTACATTTTTTAATTCAGTGGTTTTATCGCATCTCATTTTAAGCCACCTCATTTTTAATGTTATTTTCTATAAAAACGAACAAATAAAAAAATAAAAATTTACACATTGAAATCTTGTTACTTAAAACATATTATGATGGTACTTTTCTTATTAAAAAGGAAATCTGTTTAATATTTTTTGCTGATTTGAGATACATTTAAGTTTCAGTACACAAATAATTAAAAAAAATGTAATAAAGCAACAACAACAACAAAGACCAATAGTGAGGTTATGTTATTTATAATAATATGTCCTCCTCACTTTTTTTTTAACTTTTAAATTAACTTTGCATTAGAATTTAGCAATGGATCTTTGTTGTTCCAAAAGAGCAGAGAGAAAAAAAATTAAAAATACATTTTAGCTATATCTGGTAAATAATACTATTACATGTAATGTAATAAATACATTATGTAGCATTACATAAAATCACCTCTCTCTATATATACAGAGAGTTTTATACAATTTTATAGATTTCTAAAAATTGATTTATGAAAATCAATTATAATAATTACAGTATATATATATACTGTAATATATATTAATGTAGACGTTCCAAAGCATATTATACTCTTAAAAGCAAGATGCGGATATTAAATTAGATAATCCCTGCCATGTATATTGGTAGGGTTGGACTATATCCAAATTAATACTGTATAACACAGAACACATTTTTAAAAAATATATCCCCTTTCAACAATCCCCCAGAATGATATAATTATTTGGTTTACAAAATTCCACTTTTTGAGAAAAACAAATCTATTTCAAAATCATTCCACAATCGAAAATAATATTCCTTTGACTCACATATTCATATTACAAATGATGAGCCAAATTGAAAGATGCATTTATTCCTTTTCCTTCCAATGTATGCATAACATCTCTTTGAACAAGAATTATACTATCACAATGTGAAATGTTAAAATATTTCAGTTTAGAAAAAAAAATCTTCTGTAGCAGATTAATGAGAGCTCATCTCTTCCAGTGGCACGCTAGCTTTCTGGTTTAACAAAAATGAAATAATTCATGCAGGTACAGTTGCTATTACAGAATTACTACCTCTAACCTACAAGACCACCACATTTTTAAGCACGATGTATAGCCTTACCTGGCTACTGCCAGCAGTTGCCACAATTTCAGCTGCTCCTTGACATTCATTTTGCCTTTCAGATTCATGCGAACTTGCACCATGCTTGCTTGGAGCTGTTCTCTGTTAATGCAAGAATTTCTGGCATTATGCATAGAGATCAAATATACTTCATCATGCAAAATCTTCTAAAAACTGAACAAATCAATGCAGTAGTTTTACATGCCACCAAAGTGCACTTTGCATTTTATAATCCCCAGTCTCAATAATTAGCACTCGAGACTGGCTGCCTAAGCAAAACTGCAGAATGAAAGTGAAGCATGTCCTCTGAGGATTATAGCTCTAGAAGACAAAGGATCTGCTGTGAGACACAAGACACCATCTTCCACCAGCTGTGCTCACATCACTTTCAGAAATGTAACAGAATTAGAACAAGCTGCTTTGTCACATGATCTACGCATTTACTGGAGGCTACAACTAAAGCAATAAATATAATACAAATAAATATTGTCATGAAAATGTACACAGAACTTCAGTTTAAAAAGCATTTTTAATGCTTCAGTTATAGGATGACCTATATTGAAGCATTCATTTTAACAGCAAAAATAAATTGTCCCTAGCTTAACTTCCAATTAGACATGCAAAACTATCAATTTTCCCCTGGAAAAAAACCTCACTAAATTTATAAATAAAGAGTTTATAGCTTCTTTATTTATAAAAGCAACATTATTTTTTTTAAACCTGACTGAAATGTAGAATAACATATAGAACCTATTACTGCTCAGAGCTATTTATGCATATTTTATGGGGACATCTCTATAATACAGGATTTTAAAAGCTCTCCAGCCCCAAGCATGCTAAGCAAATGATGCATGGACAATCCTTTCGATGTGTATGCCACATTGTCTTCCTGCTTACTCTCTTGTAATCCCATTCCCTCCAATGAAAATAAACACAACATTAATTCCCTTCTTGTTAATTGTCCCAGGGCTGGGGTGAGCATTCCAAGGAGTTTGGGAAAAAGGAAAAGCTGAAGTAAAATCCTAAGTGCAGTCATGGTCATGCGATGTCTCACTCGATCAAATTGCTGATCCTGGTTGTGGTTGCTTTGAAGGATCTTCTATCACAAATGATTCTCTCATGTTATGACCCTATTTCTAAAAGATTTTAGTAATCATTCCATCTCCTTTTAAACCTTATTTGCATCTATAAGATCACTTTTATGTTTATTCTTGAGTATTCCTGCAGGTTTTCCTGTAATTTCATCTATCTTCCTTTAAAGGTCTCTACTTTCCTTCCCCAACTCCCTTTTTTGTTATTATTGCCATTATTGCCATTTTCTTGTCTTATCTTGTTTCAAGTCTGCACTCAGTTATATATTCTGTAGGGAAAATGGTAGACTGACCACAGGTAAGTGAATTTTATCTTCTTTTGATGCAGGGATTTATTAGGGGTGGGGAGGTGGGGAAGAGAGAGAGAATGTATGCTTACCCCAATAGTTACACCTTATTTCCATGTCTTTGAATTGCCAATACTTCCTTAGATTTTAGTTAACCTTCTGTCCTTGGTTGCTGTTCCTGCCATGGAATGCAACTGTTCTCTTCACCTCATCCTAACTCCTAGTCATCTCAGATTTGGGTGACCTGGTTGCTGGCTGGCATTTTCCAAATTTTTTAGCCAAGTCTCTGGCTGAAGTTGCCATTGTGGAGTGTGTTTTGTTTTTTTTTTGTGTGTGTGTGTGTGTGTGTGTTTGCAGTGTCTTGCTGGGAGGAAGGAAAGCTGCTGGGCTTGATTGTTGTTTCTAGCTCTTATTCTACACAACTTTTGCAGTTGTGTTGTTCTTCAGTGCCAGCAATCATCAACCAAATGCTGTATCCTTTCTCTGGCCCATTAAGTATAACCACCAGAGGTGGTATTTCACCCAAACTGGTAGTGGAAATCGCAGTGGGCCCATGCACCGGCCCCGGCTCTATGCTGCCCTATTCAGACACATTTTCAAGCCAAAATGCATGGGTGTAAGGCTGAGTACATGTGCGGACGGGGCGAGTGCATGGACAGGGCGCGTGCAAGTGAAGCATTTGCGAACCAGAAGGGAAAGTAGGTGAATACCATCCCTGATCACCACAGTAGTATTTTGTTCAGTCCAATTTTAGTATTCCTGCCTTTTTCATAATTTCCCTTTCTTCCTCCCTGGTGAACAATAACCAGAATCTCCTCCCAAAACATCTGCTTCCCAAAAAAAAGTTTATCCTTGGATAAACCTGGAGCAGAAATGCAGTCCTGCTAATTTGGTTGCACCAAAATCTCACGAAAAAGTAAAAAGGAAGGAAAGGCTCACACTGACTGTTATGAGGCCCTTTATCCACATACTTATCCATCCATCTTTTCTTATTTTGATAGATGCAGAAAGATATTTAAATCTTTTCCTCTTTAAAATTTTGTGAATAATTCCTTTAGTTTTCATAATGTCTGTTCCTACAAACACCCAGGTTCTCCTCTTAAACTAGTTATATTCTTATATTGGTCTTTTATTTTTACTGCATGTTACATAGGGTGAAAGCAAATATGCTCAGTTAATATTTCAACCTGTAGAGCAGTTTTGTTCACTTCTCCAACAACTCTATAGCATACAGGGACTGCAAAAACAGGAATCACTGGATGGTAGCAAAGAAATTGTATTATCTATTAGATGCTTCCATCCAGTGACTACTAAAAAGTTTACACTTCATATGGTTGTTGTTGTGGCCCAGCAGGAGCCGTTGGAGCTGCCGATGGACTCTGATAGCGAGGGACCCTATGAGTTGGCTCTGGAAGATGTGGAGGACCCTAGGCAGGGTTCAGACTCTGAGCAGGGACCAGAGAGGCTGGTTGGCCACCAGGAGGCGCCTGAGGCATGGAGCAGTGCTGAAGATCAAAGGGGGTTTGTCCCTGACGACAGGCAGAGAAGGGAGGAGAAACAGAGGCAGCAATTACGGAGACAGACTCATAAGAGATAAGCAAGCCCAGGTGGTTGTGGTTTGGCTCCTCCCAAGAGAATATATAAGAAGAGACTTTGGGAGGAGACCTTTTGCAGGACACAACCGTTTATACCAAGCTGGAGAAGCTCTTGTATGTATTGTATCTCTTATCTGTGGGAGTCTGGGTTGCTGCCAACGTCTTGTCTGTGAGTAATTACTGTGAATAAAGCGTGGCTAACAGTAAGCTTGTGTTGGCATTACTCACCGGACGGAGGGGGGTCAGAACAGGTTGCCTTACTATTGTGTGGTTGGCAGCATGTTACAGCTCCTTTCTGAGGAACTCCAAGAACTGAACATGAAGAGTACAAAAACCAACATAGGCCTGATTGCTTTAAGGTAATTCAAGTGTCATTGGCTTTGAGGGCTTCCACATGCTGATACCTGAGTATTGTAGACATCTGATCTTCTTATGCGGATCTGCTTTTCTCTCTTCCTTCTCCCTCCTTTCCCTTTTGTTCTTACTTTCTACTTCTTTTTTCCCTCCCTTTGGCTCTATTCTGGTGTATAAATTAGGTTAGGAATTACCACATACACAGCTTTAAGTCAAGCTGTTATCTACTCTTGAAGTGTATACACATTTGAACAGAAGATGGTACACGAGTCAACTGTGATTTTGTGTTGAATTTATCAAAGATAGTTACAGCTATCCTGGTGCTTTTAAAAACATCTCATTGCTGTTCTGCTTGGTTCATCATAAAAGAATATTTCTTACTGTTTAATAACATTGGTTTCTTCCAATACTAATATTTATTTTTTCTCTACTAAAATCAGACATTATCACTTATTATATTCTGCAGATAAAAGTTTTAAGAACCCAGGATTTCCCTGAATTTTAAACTGTAGTCAATAATGGATTCAGTAGTTGTATGGAATTACAACTCCTATCCTTGGTAAAATCAGATTTATTGGGCCAAAAATAGCATACTTCCTTTTAAAATTATTTTTCTAATAAATACCTTAATATTATCATCCCAAAATGATAAACCTAACACCACTCATATAATGCTGTTATTCCTTCTCATTTTTGTTCTTTTCCTAGGTAGAATCTAGAACTACTAAAACAAAATGGGTCCTTCATTTTTAAAGCAGACAATACCTGGTTTCAAAGGAATGAAATGTCATGAAAGTTTTACTGTTGTCTATTAATTTTAATCTATGGAGCCCAAAAATATAACTTTAAAAGGAATGACTTCTATATAGAAGTACAATTCTTTGTGCAAAATTTTACAATGAAATCTCAACAATTATAAACTTGAGTACTTCCTGCCCGTAATATATTGTATTTATTTATTACAATTATTACTCAACAAATAACTCTCCGCAGTGGGAGTTCACTAGCAGGTTCTACCGGAAAATCCACAACCCTGATGAATAATTCAGAGCCAAGCCATGTATGGCCTTAAAAATAAAATCAGGATTTTAAACTGTTGTTAATACAGGGCATGGAGCATTAGCTGGAAGCTACATATATCTGCTGTACTAGTCATCAACTAAGTGTTGATATTGGTGATTTTTAAAAATATCCAGAATGACATATGCATTCTGGCCTAATTACTACAACTGGGACGTCTGTATGTTGTTTTAAGTCAGAGGCAACTTTTTAATATTGATGCTATTGATGCTTTATGTGACTGATCATGCTATTAGTTGCACTTTATATAACATATTAAAGAAAAAATAGGACACACACATTTTAAATAAATGTCTTGTATGATTGAAACAATATAATACTGGTATGCAAAACATTTCAAACCCAAAACAGATTTCAATTGTTTATCTTTTGAGCTCAAAACAAATGTTTAAAAAGTCTGATATGGGGCAGTTTTGCACTTAGAACATTTTTAAGATAGACAAAACAATATCAGTTCAAATTCAAAACTGGATTATTTTGAGCTCAAGATGAGGCATTTTGACACCATCATAATTCAATATGACTCAGCTGCAGTTTAGCCAGAGCTAAAAGACCAGCATAGGTTACTAATTATTTCTATTGAACATGCTCAAAATTCTGTTAATTCTGATTATTTGTTTTAATTCCATTGATGTCTGAATAAACAGCAAAAAAAAAACTAACACTAACCTCTGGCTCAGCAACCTGGGATTGCAATAGCTGTCTTATACGCAGAATATCTTTCTCAATTTGTTGAATTCTAGCTACTCGCACCTGAAACAATATGAAGTTTAAGAACTATTACTTATTATTTCCAGTTTAAAAATTAGATATGAAACTGACAATGTAAAAGTTTCCTACGGTGTAAAGCTTGACTCAGAATATTTATTAATTAAATTTGTTTGCTACCTATCTTGCTTTGAAGTGAATATATTACTATATATAGAAAGGAAGATAATTCTGAATTAAGACCATCGTCCAGACAACCAGGAGGGCAAGAGAGGAGGAAAAACACCTCCATTAGGAAAACACCTTTTAAAAATTAGATCAATGTTCAAATGTTTTCTTCCTACGATATAACTTAAGGTCTCTTATTACCAGCTAAAACTAATCCTACAAATGTTTTTCCCCAAAAAGGACAGAAATATGACAAGAATTAAATAACATGTCATTGAATTGTAACTGCTGATTAAAACTGTCCATTTATAAAATTAATTGATATAACATAAATCATTCTCTACCATAAGGTCCTTCTAGCAGAAACAGGAATGAGGAAAATGTGTTGAAGATAAACAAGCAGTGCTTGATCTGTAATGGAGCCTGCCCATTATGGAGGCAAGTGGTGACAGCTGTTAAGTGAGACAGCTTTGCTTAATGACCCCTTTTTTTCCAAAAGTTTCCAAGATTTTTGCTGCCTGTCTGATTCCCTTGAAAACTCAGCCTCTGCTGTCCTTTGGTGCCCACATTTGTGCTTTAGATTTTTTTTTTTAAGAGATGAACTTTTTCTCCAGCACCTCAAGGCAAACAAAGTGCAGGAAGCATTTCTTTGCTTCCTTGCTTCCTTTCCTCTACTTTTCAGCTTGGCAGTGACTCATCAAGGTAAGTAACATACAGATTTTGTCACCTTCTTTCCAGGTATGCAGTAAATTTAGCAAATTAAATGATTAATGGATCAGGATTGGAGGACAGAGATGAAGAGTTCAGTTTCAGCACCTAGCTGGAGAGAGGTGTCTGTGTGTGTGTGTGTGTGTGTAGAAAGATCAGCAAATCTGTCCCTTCATTTATTGATAAAAACAACCATTTGCTGAAGGACTACAGGGGCATATTGTGAAATAAAGATATATTAGATTATAGAACAGCCATAACATCTTTAATCTTTATTAGGTCTTCTTGGAGTTTTTCTTGTTAGCTAGATAATAACAATATGTACTACATATTAGATTAGTTCACATTTTAAGTTCATCTGCAGTCCTTTTATTGTCCAATGTTCTTTTACAATCCATGTGAAGCAAACTACTGGTGATTCAAAAATATCCTTAAAAATGACCTGTTTCAAATTGTCTAATAAGATTAAGTCATTCATTTTTTTTCCTGAGCATAGGAATCTGCTTAGAATCATTTGGCAGATGAGTCTAATAATATCCTCCTTTATTTTTTATTGCTGAAAGATTACTGATACTACATTGTGTAGTATCTATACTATTTTATATTTGAGTCTATAATGCCTTTTCATTAGTTAAAAACAATTGACCTCAACTCTTATCACACCTTTTAGATACAGGATAATAACATTCAGGATCCTTTTTGAGACTTCACCTTTCCCCAAAAGAGAAGGACTCATGTTCACTCTGACTATAGATTCCATAGACTCATTTTTGGGTCAATCCTGTCATTCTTCCGTATGAAAAAAAAAAGCAAGTAAACTAAGAAATCCAGTGGCTCCTTGATCTCTCTTACTGTACATATGTCTCCTGGTTTATCCCTCTTTGGTAAGAAGAGTGAGAAAAGGAATTGAAAGGAGCAGATAGACAAAAGCACTAAGCAGAGAAAGATTGTGAAACTTTGGAAGCAGGTGCATAAAGAAAAATAAGCAATGTATTTTACTTTTCTTTGAGTGAAACTGTGCAGTCAGTTCATACTATGTCAATATTGTGTTACATTATATTCAATACCACTGTTTCTGTTCTCAGTTGTTTTAAGGATAATTGTTAGGTTTACTGCATAATTATTAAACATATCATTTGAAAACAAAGGCACTTTCTCAAGCAGCTTTAAATACACAAAAAACAGGTACATCTTTGAATTGTTGCTAAATTGTTACTGAATTGATGTGGAGAAGAGATTACCTGTGCTCTCTTCTCCATGTCCTGACATGTACCAAGTTGTTCTTCCATGGCAGCTCTGATCTGTCTTGCCTCATATTCCAATTGCCTTCTATTCATGTCAGTCTGCAATGAAAACTAAAAACATAGGAAATACAATAATCCCAATTAAGAATAATGCTAATATTCTGAAGATAAACTGAAGAAATTTATGTGAGTCTAATGTTTATAAAAGTTAAAGTTAATTAATGTCATTTTTCCAATATGACACACAGATACAGAGAAAGGCTGAGAAAAATCTATAAACATATGAAGAGTTTTTTTTAAAAAAAGTATTCCCAATATATTTCTGTAGACTTTAGTCTTGTGCTAAAAAAATCTGAAACAATGACATATTTCAACTGGTATATTTTGATTTAAATAATACTTTTATGTGTGTATAGCTGTTACCACTTACATTTTCAGTAAGAGGAAGACTATCTATCCTTTTAGTCAAATTCTGAAGCTGAGCATAATACCAGTCTTTTTCTTTTTCTTCCTTTTCAAGCTCAGCAAGCAAAAGAGACCTAGAGATGAAGAAACAAGTATTTATCATTTATTATTCTACATTAGCTAATATATAGCAGGTAATACTTATACAAGTGAATCATTTTTCATTTTCATAATCATCCATGAGCTTCTCTAAGATGAGCCAGTGAGGTTCATAGTGCAGAATACAGATTTAAATGTAGCCTCACTTCAATCCAGATCCAATATTCTATCACTTTTCCTTACCCCATTCTCAACTGAATCTTGCCTCATCTTGTACTACCTTGATTTGAGGTTCTCTTGATAGTGCTGTAGATTTATTTGGATTGATACATTCGGATTTGTTACCTTAACAATATCAAATATGTAGTTAGGGAATACAAATTTGAAAATTAGAAAAGGCTACCTTGAATTCTACATTTTCATACTGTCTTTTTATCTACAGCAGGGGTGCCAAACTCGATTTCATTGATGGCCGCATCAGGGTTGTGTCTAACCATGAGAGGCAGGGGTGAGTGTGGCCAGGGTGGCCGTGGCCAGCTTGATGTCACTCGTGTTGAGGGGCCCTGTGGTGGCCCAAGCACTCTGTCAGCAAAAATGGGCTCTTGAACTCCATTTCAGCTGCAATGGCTGCAGGCAACCCTCTGCCAGTGAAAATGGAGTTCGGGAGGGCCACATGTGGTCTTCCAAGCTCTTTTTTCTCTGGCAGAGGATCTGTGGGCTGGTCCTTTGCTGTTTCCAGGGCAGTCCTGTGGGCCAGATTTAAGCACCCCAGGCCTTGAGTTTGACACCCCCGATCTACAGTTTAATAACTTGTTATCTTTCAAGTGGAAGATAAAAGATCTTTCACAGCTGCTCAGAATTTCAACAGTACATAATATTCATACTTATTCAGCATGTGAAAAATCCAGAAAATGCCTACATTGACTCTGCTGGTGTGTCATTTCCCACCCCACCCCACCCCGGACAAAAGCCCTCTGGATTTCCTCTCTTCCAACCTCTCCTTTTCTCCAGAACCTCTGGAAATCACCCCAAAGCCTTAATCTTGCAGGCTTCTGGAGCCTCAGAAAATTGTTTAATTGTGCACAGAAGCACAATTAGCTCCGCATCAAATTCACAGCATCCAACTTAGATGAACTCTATTTATACGAGAAGCTTCACTAACATAACTTGAAGCATACATTTTCAAACTTGGGAAAATTATAAATAAGATTTCTTCAACATGCCAGACAGATATAAATATTTTTGTGTGGTCTACCCATTCCGGAGGAAGGAAGGAAGGAAGGAAGGAAGGAAGGAAGGAAGGAAGGAAGGAAGGAAGGAAGGA